AAAAAATAGAAATGGAAGAAAAACTTCCAAACTCATTTTATGAGGCCAGCATCACCTTGATCCCAAAACCAGACAAGGATCCCATCAAAAAAAGAGAACTACAGACCAATATCCTTGATGAACACAGATGCAAAAATTCTCACCAAAATACTAGCCAATAGGATTCAACAGTACATTAAAAGGATTATTCACCACGACCAAGTGGGATTTATTCCAGGGCTGCAAGGTTGGTTCAACATCCGCAAATCAATCAATGTGATACAACACATTAATAAAAGAAAGAACAAGAACCATATGATACTCTCAATAGATGCTGAGAAAGCATTTGACAAAGTACAACATCCCTTCCTGATCAAAACTCTTCAAAGTGTAGGGATAGAGGGCACATACCTCAATATTATCAAAGCCATCTATGATAAACCCACCGCAAATATCATTCTCAATGGAGAAAAACTGAAAGCTTTTCCGCTAAGGTCAGGAACACGGCAGGGATGTCCGTTATCACCACTGCTATTCAACATAGTACTAGAAGTCCTAGCCTCAGCAATCAGACAACAAAAGGAAATTAAAGACATCCAAATCGGCAAAGAAGAAGTCAAGTCAAACTATTACTCTTCACAGATGATATGATACTATATGTGGAAAACCCAAAAGACTCCACTCCAAAATTGCTAGAACTTGTACAGGAATTCAGTAAAGTGTCAGGATATAAAATCAATGCACAGAAATCAGTTGCATTTATATACACCAACAACAAGACAGAAGAAAGAGAAATTAAGGAGTCAATCCCATTTACAATTGCACCCAAAACTATAAGATACCTAGGAATAAACCTAACCAAAGAGACTAAGAATCTATACACAGAAAACTATAAAGTACTCATGAAAGAATTTGAGGAAGACACAAAGAAATGGAAAAATGTTCCATGCTCCTGGATTGGAAGAATAAATATTGTGAAAATGTCTATGCTACCTAAAGCAATCTACACATTTAATGCAGTTCCTATCAAAGTACCATCCATTTTTTTCAAAGAAATGGAACAAATAATCCTAAAATTTATATGGAACCAGAAAAGACCTCGAATAGCCAAAGGAATATTGAAAAAGAAAGCCAAAGTCGGTGGCATCACAATTCCGGACTTCAAGCTCTATTACAAAGCTGTCATCATCAAGACAGCATGGTACTGGCACAAAAACAGACACATAGATCAATGGAACAGAATAGAGAGCCCAGAAATAGACCCTCAACTCTATGGTCAACTAATCCTCGACAAGGCAAGAAAGAATGTCCAATGGAAAAAAGACAGCCTCTTCAATAAATGGTGTTGGGAAAATTGGACAGCCACATGCAGAAAAATGAAATTGGATCATTTCCTTACACCACACATGAAAATAGACTCAAAATGGATGAAGGACCTCAATGTGAGAAAGGAATCCATCAAAATCCTTGAGGAGAACACAGGCAGCAACCTCTTCGACCTCAGCTGCAACAACATCTTCCTAGGAACATCGCCAAAGGCAAGGGAAGCAAGGGCAAAAATGAACTATTGGGATTTTATCAAGATCAAAAACTTTTGCACAGCAAAGGAAACAGTTAACAAAACCAAAAGACAACTGACAGAATGGGAGAAGATATTTGCAAATGACATATCAGATAAAGGGCTAGTGTCCAAAATCTATAAAGAACTTAGCAAACTCAACACCCAAAGAACAAATAATCCAATCAAGAAATGGGCAGAGGACATGAACAGACATTTCTGCAAAGAAGACATCCAGATGGCCAACAGACACATGAAAAAGTGCTCCACATCACTCAGCATCAGGGAAATACAAATCAAAACCACAATGAGATACCACCTCACACCAGTCAGAATGGCTAAAATTAACAAGTCAGGAAATGACAGATGCTGGCGAGGATGCGGAGAAAGGGGAACCCTCCTACACTGTTGGTGGGAATGCAAGCTGGTGCAACCACTCTGGAAACAGCATGGAGGTTCCTCAAAATGTTGAAAATAGAACTACCCTATGACCCAGCAATTGCACTGCTGGGTATTTACCCTAAAGATACGAACGTAGCGATCCGAAGGGGCACGTGCACCTGAATGTTTATAGCAGCAATGTCTACAATAGCCAAACTATGGAAAGAACCTAGATGTCCATCAACAGACGAATGGATAAAGAAGATGTGGTATATATACACAATGGAATACTATGCAGCCATCAAAAGAAATGAAATCTTGCCATTTGCGACGACATGGATGGAACTAGAGGGTATCATGCTCAGCGAAATAAGTCAATCGGAGAAAGACAACTATCATATGATCTCCCTGATATGAGGGAGAGGAGATGCAACATGGGGGGTTAAGGGGGTAGGAGAAGAGTAAATGAAACAAAATGGGATTGGGAGGGAGACAAACGATAAGTGACTCTTATTCTCACAAAACAAACTGAGGGTTGATGGGGGGAGGGGGTTTGGGAGAGTGGGGGTGGGGTTATGGACACTGGGGAGGGTATGTGCTATGGTGAGTGCTATCTATGAAGTGTGTAAACCAGGCGATTCACAGACCTGTACCCCTGGGGATAAAAATATGTGTTTATAAAAAATAAAATTTAAAAAAAAAGTAAAAAAAAAATTATCATCTAAGTTGCAAACATCACTTTGCTCACATTTTACTGGGGGAAACTGAGTCACAAGACCACACCTGGCCACCAGGAAGCCTAGGAAATAATTGCTATCTGGGTGGCCACAGGCCCTCGTAAAACTCAGGGAGGTTCTAATATTAACAGGAAGAAGCAATTACATACTTTTTGAAATTACTTCTGTGCCATGGCCAAGGCTAATTTGAAGAGGAAGAGTATATATTTACAGCAGGGCAATATGAAAATCGGGGAGTTCAGCCTACTACCACTCTAGAGCATAAACGTGTAGACAAACGGAAAAGCTATAAAGGTTCCTGTTTGCTCCTGGAAAGAGTACCTTAGCCAAACTACATAGGTTTTAGCTCTAAGATGTCCCTGTTGTACAGCTATTTTTCTGTCTTTGAATGGAGGAAGGAAGAATGTAAGGATGAGAGTAAGCTGATTCCTTAATAGGAGAAAGAGAGAGAGAGAGAGACACTCTAAACTTAGCTGTGACCTAATATCTGAGCTAAACTGTCACATTCTCATCCATCCATTATGAAGATAAATTGATTACAAAGTCAAAGGCAGCCCATGCCATGCTGTGTCTAGAGTACCCCTTGGGTGACCTGAAAGGTGGGTAACCCTCATAGCCCTCATCAACACTTTGCCCTGGGTCATGAGTATCTGTAGTGAAGAGAATAGGACAAAAAGAGTGGCAGTTAACTAGGACAGAGAAAGTGAGGAATGCAAAATGAGGGTAAAAGCCAGGCAGAGCACTTGGACAATAACAGAAAGACCAAAAAAAAAAAAAAAAAAGAAAGAAAAAAAATTACAAAAAACTAAAAAGACCCCAAATATCAAAAGCAATCCTGAGAAAGAATAAAGCTGGAGGCATCACACTTCCTGATTTCAAGCTGTATTATAAAGCTACAATCAAAACAGTATGGTACTGGCATAAAAACGGACACCCAGACCAGTGGCACAGACTGAGAGCCCAGAAAGAAACCCATGCATATACATACATATATAATCAACTGATATTTGACAAGGGAGCCAAGAATACTCAATATTTTTCAAGAGAAAAAGTATCTTCAATAGATGGTATGGGAGAAATTGAATAATCATATGGAAAAGAATGAAACTTGATCCCTATCTCACACCAGTCACAAGAAATCAACTCAAAATGAATTAAGAACTTGAACACCTGAAACCATAAAACTCCTAAAAGAAAGTATGAAAAAAGCTCCTTGGAATGGATTTCAGTGATAAGTTTTGGGGTGTGGCACCTAGAACACAATGAAAAATAAAGTGGTACTACCTCAAATTAAAAAGCTTCTACACAGCAAAAAGAATGATCAACAGGTAAAAGGACAATCTACATAAAGGGATGGAAAGGGTTAATATCCAAAATACATTTTAAAAAACTTATACAACTCTATAACAAAAAATCAAATAACCAATTAAAATGGGCAAAGGACCTACAAAAACATTTTCCAAAGAAGATATACAAATGGCCAAGAGGTACATGAGAAGGTGTTCATTGTTAATCATCAGGGAAATACAAATCAAAACCACAATGAGATATCGCCTCATGCCTGTTAGAATAGTGAACATCAAAAAGATAAGAGGTAAATGCTGGTGAGGATGTGGAGGAAAGGGAGCCCTAATGCAGGGGGCGAGGGGTGCAGGGAGATTGTAAACTGGTGTAGTCACTATGGAAAATAATATGAATTTTCCTCCAAAAATTAAAAATGGAAATACCATATAATCCAGCAACTCTAATTCTCGGTTTGTATCCAAAAGAAACAAAATCACTATCTTGAAAGATACCTGGATCCCCATGTTCATGGCAGCGTCACTTACCACAGCCAAGGCTTGGGAACAACTTACGTGTCCATCAGCAGATGAACTGGATGAAGAAAACATGGTATGTATATAGAGTGTATGAAAGAAAAACATGCTGCCATTTGTGACAATGTGGACAGACCAGAGGGCGTTGTGCTAAAAGAAATAACTCAGACAGAGAAAGGCAAATACTGTATGATCTCACTTCTATGTGATCTAAACAAAACAAAACAAAACAACTCATAAGAAAAATAGATCAGAATTGTAGTTCCCAGAGGTGGGGGAGAGAGGGTGGAAGTGCTGGATGAAGGGGTCAAAAGGAACAAACTTCTGGTTACAAGACAAGTGAATAAATAAGAAAATTTTTTTCTTTTTTTCCTTTGTCCGTATGAAATGATGGATGGTAATCACTTCACAGCATATGTAAGTGAAGTCATTGTGCCCTACACCCTAAACCTGTACAGTGACCTGTGTCAGTTATATCTCAATAAAACTGAAAGAAATAAAGAAGTTAGGTAAATCACAGACACATACTGTATGTGGGCTCTTCAGCATGCAAGGAAATCCTGATGCCCTTCTGTTCCTTTACGTTCCGGGCATTTCTTGGCGGTGTGATTACCATGGGAAGGCGTGCGTCCTGGCCAGACATCTTGGAAATATTTGGCTGAGTCTCACATTACAATTCAGAAACTGGAATCACTCGATACAGCTCTAATTGGATATAATTGGATTATCTAGATTGTTCTCTGCCATTAGAGAGTTTCAGCTCTCCCTCCGCAGTGCTGCCTTTCTTCCCAAGTCTCCCTGACTTCGTGGCGTTTACTTACCCTTGTTTCTGCTTATTCATGACTTGAAATGCTTCATGATTTTACAAACTTCCTTCTTTCTGAGGACATTTTGACTAAGGTTCTGCTTGTGATGGCTTGATTATCAACATATCTTCAGCTGAAATTCCTGAGAGAGAAACTGAAAGACTCACCATACCACCACTGTCCTTGAAAAACAGCACTCTTATCCTAGGTCACCTCCCAGGCAGCTATAGACTGACTGAATGCCGGTGGCTCATTTTGGCCTGATAAGCTGTGGCCTGAGTTTGCATCAAAAGGTGAGAACACATCTGCATAGGAGTTAGGAACCACCTAGCCCCTTCCTCCCTGGGCAAGGGGCCAAGGGCAGGGCAGGGCAGACACTCACAGGATTGGTCTCATCCAATATCATTACTGACTGGTGCTCCTAGGCATTCACTTGGAAGGATAGGACATTTGACAACAACCTGAGAGAGACCCTTAATAAAAGTACAGTGTGAAAAAGTGCATTACAACCCGACAGAAGGCAGAACCAACCACAGAAATCCTCAGAGTCCTGCCATTTACTTACACGCGTTACGTTCGCTTGAAATTAATGAATCACCTACATGTTGTAGGTGGCCAATTGCCTAATTTTAAATGATGCAAATGTCCTCTAGCCTAATTAGCATTTACAAAATCATTCTGGTATTTCACAAAAGATGATGAATCAATTTAATTAGCTTTAAACTCTAAATGCCCAATACAGATACACCCAAGTCAAGAACGCAATGTAACTAAATTTATCTTCCGTATCCTTCCACCTCAAATCATATCCACCTACACATGTGGGCACGCACACACACATGCACACACACAGGCTTCCCCAGGATCATGCTTCCTTAGGACACCCAATCTGCCCATGGGGACACAGATGACACTGAGCTCCGCAGCCCTCCCCCCTTCTTCAGAGCCTGCTCTTCCATATGGCATCCTCACCTGCCCCAGTAGAAGCTGTCTGGAACTCAGTGCAATATGGTTAATAATTGGTCTTAATTCTTTAATTAAACCCATTAAAACCAGGATCATAGGAAGATCTTCCTGGTAACAATTTACATTTTTCTCCCCCTAACAACCCAAGGGCCACTGGCCTCTATTACATTAATCCTATCATTCTATTCCAGTGAAGTGTGTTTTAGAAAATGTCGGTGTTTCCATTTTGAGGCAGAATCTGATTAGTGATTTACCTTTGATCGGAGAGATCAGTTTCCTTCGACACACAGACAGTGTGGCAGTGGTTGTATCATAAGCAGCATCTCTATCTATGGTCCCTCCCCATGGGGTCACTAAATATGCAAATTACAGAAGTCTGTCTCCAAGCAGCAGTAGGGGTGGGTCGGCACCGCCCACCCACACTCTACAGGGCACAGCGCTGCCAATGGTGACCATGGATCGTATTTTTTATCTTCCCCTCTGATTGCTTGAGACACTCGAGACCGTGTTATCATTCATCAATGACTAGCATGTGGAACACAGAGAACAAGGACTAATTCTGGTCCCTTTATTAATGGAATGATGGTCTATTTTCCGGCTCTAAGTACAGGAATTTTCCATGAAGGACCAGATGTTAGCTCTCCCTCATTTGTGCCAACTGCTAAGGAAGCTGTCCTGGGTGCCCTGCTTTGCCACTGAGCAAGCTAAAGTTATAGGACTTCCCAGCAACGGAAAGTCACAGCCCCCTGAGTTTCCAGCTTGCCATTAACAACTTCAAACCGACGCTGCTTTCCTATGCACCATAAGCAAATCAGAAGCAACATTTGGCAGATTGAGAGTCAGAAGGCAAGACAGGTATTGGCAGGTATAGGAGACCTCTAAGTCATATTTGACTTACCACCATCACCCACATCAAATCAAGTACAGAGCATTAAGAAACACTCCTGAGTGTGCCTGCAATGGCTGGTCATTTTATAATGAGGCAAGCTACTCTCATACACTATACAGAGTTCTTTATTGAAATGCCCTATAGAAGAAGAAGAGATGAAAGATATTTATTGAGCATCTATATGCAGGGTCCTGTGGAAAGTGACAGAGACCACTGGGCCAAAGCATTTCATTCATGCATGCATTCATTTTTAGATGAATTACAGAGCACTTGCTATAGGACAAATGCTAGGTTCAATGTCGAGCCAAACAGTTCCATACCCTGCTTTACTGGAGTTTACAATACAGCGGAAGAGTCAAGTGTGGATCATATAATCAAACAGGCTTATAATTTTGAGCCAGGACCCAAGCATGAAGCAGCATGAGAGCACATTACAAGGGAAACTGATCAAGTCTGGGACCAAGGAAGGATGCCGGGGGAAGGAGACTGAGAGGTTCACAAGGTGTTAACAGATGAAAGGAAGGTGGTGGGAGCAGGAAGAAAAGAACATGTCAGGCAGGAAGTTCAACCCGACGTGGAAGTTCCCCATTGCGGGTGGGACAGGGTCCTGTGGGAAGCTGAAAGCAGCCCCAGTAGCTGGATGCCCGACAGTGGGGAATGATGGGGAAGACAGGAGACCGTGTCTAGGAAAGTGGGCCAGCCGGATGGTACAGGTCCTGGCAGGGTGGGAGGCATTGGGTCTTTTTTGGAGAGAGAAGCTGAAATGCACCCACAAATTCATGCCACACGGGGTACCCAGAGAAGTCGGAGGAGAGTTACATAACCACGGTGGGAACATCCAGGGCTCAGAGCAGGTCTAGCAAAACAGATCGAACTCAGAAATGCCAACAGCAAAAGAGAGGGAATTCCTTCCCAGGCCTCAGAGGGCACGACAGACACATAACTCTCTGACCCAGTGTCCTAGAAAGCTTTTACCTGGTACAGCTACCTCATTATCTTAGAACATAATTTAACTTATATTACTAGGCTGCAATGTGTTATTTTTAGGAAAGCCATAAAGAATAGCACCAACAAAACTTGAAAAGAAAAAGTCGTCTTTAAACTAGAAATCCAATTTGAGTGTGTTGGCCAAGACAAAGGTAATTTTGAAAAAAGAACAATAGGGAGGACCTAATTTACTGGCTATCAATAGTAGCTATCAGTAGAGATTCAGAAAGTGTGATCTTGGTACAAGGATAGAAAAACTGTCCAATGACATAGAATAGGAAGTCCTGAAACAGTCCTACCCATTCCAGGTCACCTGATTTATGAAAACTATGACATTGCAGTCCAGCGGGGAAAAGACAGTATTCTCAGGCAATGGAGTGGAGCCAGGTAATTATTCACATGGAAAAATAAGGAGCTTTGGCCATCCCACACTGTCCATAAAAAATCAGTTCCAAGTGGACAACATATCTATACTTGAAATGCAAAGCAATCAGGAGCACTGAGGCTTTTTAGGACAGTGAAGTTACTCTGCGGGACATGACAATCATAGATACAAGTTACTGTACATTTGTCCAAAACCCTAGAATGTACAGCATCAAGAGTTGACCCTGATGTAAACCGTGAACTGTCGGTGCTAATGAGCATCGCTGTAGGTTCGGCAAGTGTAACAAATGTCCACTGTGGTTCAGGATATTGACAATGGGGGAGGGAGGCTACAGCTGTCCAGGGTTGGGGCAGGGGCATTGTTCTTTCCCCTTAATTTTGCTGAGAATGATCCTAAAACTCCTCTAAAAAGAAAATAGTCTTTAGAGGATGATCAAGGGGCACCTGGGTGGCTCAGTCAGTTAAGTGTCTGCCTTCAGCTCAGGTCATGATCCCAAGGTCCTGGGATGGAGTCCCGAATCAGGCTCCCTACTCAGCAGGGAGTCTGCTTCTCCCTCTTCCCCTCCCCCTGCTCCTGCTTTCTCTCTTTCTGCCTCTCGCTCTCTCTTTCGCAAAAATAAATAAAATCTTAAAAAAAAGAGAGAATAAAGCATTCAGAAGAAAATATAAAAGAACATATTTCTAATGTGGGGGTAGGCGAAGATTTCATAAACAGAACACAGAAAGCAATAACCATAAAGGAAAACTGATATATCGGACTATACTAAGCTAAGTGGGTTTTGTCATGGAAACACAGCCATGGGAACAGGCTTTCCACTTGAGGAAGCTGAGGTGAGGAAAATGTTTGTGAAAAGCCATCTGGGAGATGCCTCAAGTATTTAATTTTCTGAACACTTGGATAACAAATAACCACGACTGAGTTATGAATTCAGAGAGAGTCGCAGGGCTGTTCTTCCTCTTTTTAAAATCTTATTTATTTATTTGACAGACAGAGATCACAAGTAGGCAGAGCAGCAGAGAGGGAGAGAGAAGCAGGTTCCCCGCTGAGCAGAGAGCCCGATGCGGGGCTTGATCCCAGGACCCTGAGATCATGACTTGGGCTGAAGGCAGAGGCTTAACCCAATGAGCCGCCCAGGCACCCCACAGGCTATTCCGACCACCACACAGATTTCTGCAAAACCTTGTACAGGCTTCCATCCTTTTGTCCCAGAAGATTAGGAAGATCAAACTTCTCCCCAAGTCCCTAGTTTCTTGCAGTCAGTAGCAGCTCTAGGATTTCAATGGAGGAAGGATTTAGGAACCGCAATCCAGAGGAAGGGGAAACAAAGAATTTGTCCTGAATCTAGGGCATGGGTAGCACTTTACATAGGACATATCAAATGTTCATTTGCCATCTCAAGCCCCAGTGGGCGGGATGGAGGAGACAGGGCCAGCTCCCCAGTGACAGCGATCACCTGTCTCCTCACCTTTCCTAACCAGCTCACTTCTTCAGAGTGGGCATGTCACCCAGTGATCCAGAGCCACCAAACAAACCCAGCCCAAATTCCTGGCTCCTGCACGCCTGTCCCAGAGGTATGCCAGGTTGGTGGGTGCAGCATCTCCCAGGTAGCC